CCTTGCACTTGTTCAAGACTGGGGTTGGTTTATTGGTAGTTCATTGGATTATGAGTAATAAATTTTCTAAGTTGTTATGTTTAATAGAATACCTCTGTCAACCACAAAATCTACCAAAACTATCACGTCCATCAACTTGTCAATCCGCTTCAATAGGATGGCAGATCCACAAAACTATCACGTTAATATTTACCTCTGATAGTCCATCAACTTGTCAGTCCGCTTCAATAGGATGGCAGATCCACTAAAACTATCATGTTAATGATCACCTCTGATAGTCTGTTTTCTCCAAATTCCCCCACCAATCCTCTTCAAGTAGGATGACGGGTCTATCAAAACTACCATGTTAATGATTACCTCTGATAGTCCATTCCCTCCAAATTCTCTTGTCAATCCTCTTCAAGTAGGATGACGGGTCTATCAAAACTATCACGTTAATGATTACCTCTGATAGTCCAACTATCACGTTAATGATTACCTCTGATAGTCCATTCCCTCCAAATTCTCTTGTTAATCCTCTTCAAGTATGATGACGGGTCTATCAAAACTATCACGTTAATGATTACCTCTGATAGTCCATTCCCTCCAAATTCTCTTGTCAATCCTCTTTAATAGGATGGTAGGTCTACTAAAACTATCATGTTAATGATCATCTCTGATAGTCTGTTTTCTCCAAATTCCCCTACCAATCCTCTTCAAGTAGGATGACGGGTCTATCAAAACTATCGCGTTAATGATTACCTCTGATAGTCCATTCCCTCCAAATTCTCTTGTCAATCCTCTTCAAGTAGGATGACAGGTCTATCAAAACTATCACGTTAATGATTACCTCTGATAGTCCATTCCCTCCAAATTCTCTTGTCAATCCTCTTCAAGTAGGATGATGGGTCTATCAAAACTATCACGTTAATGATTACCTCTGATAGTCCATTCCCTCCAAATTCTCTTGTCAATCCTCTTCAAGTAGGATGGCGGGTCCACAAAAAACTATCACATTAACAGTTACCTCTGATAGTCAAACTCATCAGATAATGGCCTACCTGGTGATGTGACTCTATTCCGACTTCATGGATAGTGCCTCACTGGACGATGTGCCTTGTCTACCTCTTTTTATTCCCCTACTAAGTCTTAATCGAGACTGGGGGTTGGTTACTTGGAATCCACTGGGTTAAGAGTAATGAATCTTTCACATCGTCGAGTTAACATTACACTTTTGACGATCATCATCCCCACAGAGTATGCATTCAACTCGCATCACTCCCAATTTGTCACGTTAACGCTATACCTCTAACAACAATCAACTTATTAATCCTTGACAATAGGATGATAAGTCCTCAAAATTGCTCAAATCGCAATCTTCCCCAGCAAGACGCTAAGTCTTCAAAATCTTATTCAAATCACAAGTATCAAAATTCATCACTTCTGATGATAAACTCACCTAGTGAGTTTCCCCAGCGAGACGCTAATTCCCAAAATCTTGTGCAAGTCACAAGTACACATTCCTGTCACGTTAACATTATACCTCTGACGACCCACTTATCAATCCTCTTCAATAGGATGATAAGTCCACAAAGTTGCTCCGATCGTAACACATTCCTGTTACGTTAACATCATACCTCTGACAACCCACTTATCAATCCTCTTTAATAGGATGATAAGTCCACAAAGTTGCTCCGATCGCAATACATTCTTGTCATGATAACATCATACCTCTGACAAAATCAACTTATCGACTCTCATTAATAGAGCGATAGGTCCATAAATTTTAGTCAAGTTAACATCATACCTCTGACAATCAAACCAACTTATCGACTCTCTTCAATAGAGCGATAAGCCTATAAAATACTGTTAGGTTAACATCACACCTCTAACAGTCAAATCCCCCAATGAACTTGTTAATCTCTTTTCAACAAGAATAGCAAGTTTTTATTATAAAATCCCTAGCGGATTAAATATTTTCTGGAATTATCCTATTGATAATAAAGAAAATTTATGAATTTCACTCTAAGTGGAAATTCATGCCAAGTTAATATTACACCTCTGGCGCTTCCAACTTTCTTTCAGTGTTTCAAATAACATAGGAAGAAATAATGACAAAGTCTACGTATTCGACATCGTAGCAGGTCATTATTAATAATGCCAAAATCCATGCCTTACACGCATGGGGAAATTTATCCTGAATCCTCAGTAGGGATAAGTCAACACCTAACACGCGTTACCAGTTAGTCTTTCACCGTAAAAAGGACAAAAGTCTATGTATTCAACATCGTAGCAGATTGTTATTAATAACGCCGAAATTCATGCCTTATACGCATGGGGGACTTTATCTCGATTCCTAATTAGAGATAAGCCTACGCCTAACACGCGTTGTCGGTTAGTCTTTTTCTGTAAAAATGACAAAGTCTATGTATTCAAAATCATAGCATCAAGTCTAAGAGGGTTCATTCTCTTAGCACAACGTTACATGTGAAATGGATTCAAATAATTCACATGCTAGCCCGACTCAAACGGTAGTCGGTAAAGGCTTATCAAATCCGTTGATGGCTGAGGGTTTGCCAAAAATCCTATGCATGTTCGTAGGTCCATTAGCTTAATGGATGTGAGCCGGGACTTAAAATAGATGAGCTAAAGACAAGTCTTAAAGACTTAGTCAAAAATGCATGGAAGTCACTTCCATGTCTTAAGTCAAAACGCTGAGGTCAGACTCGCGATGCAAAAACCAAACGCTGAGGTCATACCCGTGTTCCAAATTCAACATGCAAGGGTGAGACCCACGTCTTAAGTTCAAAATGCAGGTTCATCCTCCGCATTCCAAAAGTAGGATTGTGATGCATACCTTCACACAGGTCCTGCATGGCAAATCTCATCAACCAAGATGCATTCAAAACGAGTGCAGAGAACGATTCCTTTACGACAAGGAATCAACAGCTCCAAGATCAGAGTTGAGATCCAAAGTATTTCAAAAATTCGTCCCAGTCAACCGTGAACTTTTGAAAACTTTGGAGGGGGTTCTGTAGGCTGTCTAAAAAATCAAAATAGATAGCTGACCCCCTATCAAACACCGATGATGGAAGTTACGATCTGACGACTTCTAGAAGGCTATAATTTCAAGACTTTCACGTAGATTAATAAAGATTACAATCTGACGACCTTCACAACAACCGATGAAAGCTCTAGTTCAACAGTCTTCACAATCAATATCAGGAGTTACAATCTGACAACTCTCGTATTTTCGAGCAGCCAAGGTGAAGATCATTCAACAATGGCCTTTACAATGCTCTACAGAAGAAGCTACAAGTCAACTAGCCCCTTCTAAACGCGGAAGTCATCTCCGCATTTCAATTCCTGAAACGCAGGCGATCCCCACATTTCCAATCCTAAGCAAACCAAACGCGGGTGGCCCTCGCGTTTTTCAACACCCAGCGAGTACCCAACTCTGCGTCTCCATTCTAAAACGCAGAGTTAGGGTCCTGAATGCCAACGTGGGCGTTTGACTCGTTCAAACACGAGCTGAACGGTTGCAGGAACTGTTTTCCCTCCACGATTTGAGGGATTTCCGCCCCACTTAGGAGCGGATTAAGGGGGCGGTTACACCCCTCTCAACCCCATTATGGAGAGAATTAAGGGGGGCGGTTACACCCCTTAATTCCCTATAAATATGGGTAAACTCAATTGAGTTCGGGCTGGCTTTTTAGATCTGGGACTTGGCAGCGAAAGGTTAGAATTTCTTGGCTCGGATTGACCCTTCGGCGTGGCAGCAACAGGAGAGATCCTTGGGCGAGCTTTTGAGGAGATCAGCATCATCCTCCAACGAAGATCATCTTCAACGTTCGACAACGAGGAGCTTCTTCATCCTTGGCTTATAACCGACATTCAGTTAAATCAACTCTTTTTCAAGAGTTCAAACTCGTTCAGAGTTATCAACTCGTCCAGAGTTCTAAAACTTACCACGCAAGTTCTCCACAGCGTCGAATCATGGGGAGAAGATATTGTTCCAGTGAATCAAAACGTCGGATCGTCAATGGAGAGCAAACTTGACGCGAGTACTCGAGGGAGGCATTCCATCGCCACCTGAAGAACCCAGTTTTAAACAAAGGGGAGAATCAAACTCATTCTCCTCTCTTTTATAATCAGGAAATCTAAATTGTAATCGATTTTGAGAGAATACAAGTTAATTTTCTTTCACTGTCTTTTTACTACAAATTTTCCCACAAACAAACATATGAAGAAAAAAGTTTATAACAATTATTTTCAAAACAAACTACATTGTAAAGTTCGCAAAACAACCCACAATATGACTCTAAACATCTCCTTCGAACTCTATCGGTTCATTCCCTGCTCGTGAAAAAAATTATCATCATCGTCATCACATTTACCATTCATTTTCTTCTGCTCTCTCCCTTTGATGAGTAATTGAGCAGCAATCTTTGCCCTAATGACCCATGTCATATAATAATCTGGTGTAAGCTACAAAACATCATTTCCTTCTAGTATTGCTTTTATGAATAAGTACGTGTAAATCTCGCAATTGTACCTACAAAAAAAAAATCTATTTACCCTTCAAAAGAGGGAGTTCATGAAAAACTTTACTCTCCCCCAAAATATCCTTCCACCAAATTTAATTACCAATCATATCCTGATTTCATAAACCACTTTACCCTTTCATCGGTTACGCCTATATTCCTCCTCCTTTCAATTCATCGGTTACACCCTAATCCTTCAATTCATTAATTGCCAACGATGAGTATTATTGCCCTCATCATCACCGCACCTCCTCAGCTCCTCTGCCATCATCTCCTCAGTTCTTAAATTTTGGGCATCAATTACGATCACGAAGGAGACTCATTGACGAAGGTATGATTTGCTCCTTTTCTAAATTTTACTTTTGATTCCGTCATTGTCTTCTTGGTTGTCATCGATGTCCTCTTCCTTCTTTGTAGAAAGAAGGGATCTAAATGCAGAGCGAGGTCCTCTGACATGGCGGTGGCTGCTGTGCTACCATTGACGGACAAGAGAGTCATCGGAGAAGGAGCGGTACCTCCGGCAGTCACGGCAGTGTCGGTCACGACCGCGGATGCTGAAATGGCAGGAAGAGGCTGATGTTCTTAGGTCAAGGGGCTAGGGTTTACGATCTCGAGGATTTCAGGAATTTCATTGAAGAAGGTATTTCTAAATTTTATTTGCTCAATTCACCATCTCACCTTTTTGTTTTTCGTTCCTCTCATTTTGTTTTAATTTTAAAGAAAAATTTCATTTAATTTTGTTCTAATTAGCCATCATCTCATTTTGTTCTAATTCAACAATAGGTCAAGGGTTGTCCGAATTAGGACTTGCTTCAAGTCTTCATCTTGCTCCTGTGTCAGTTTCATCAGGTAAAAAATCAGTTGTTATTTTTTTGTGAATTTTTTTTTAAATTGAGAAAAAGGTTGGATCTTTAGTGAGAAATTAGTTGAACTTGTAGGATCTGAAATAGATACACTAGAACACTAGAGGGGGGGTGAATAGTATTCTCTTAAAATTATTGCAAAGTAGATAATAAATTGCAAAGAAAAATGGCAATCTCAGAAATTTGCAAACACAAACACAAGGATTTTATACTGGTTCCACCAAACCGGTGTACATCCAGTCCCCAAGCAAATCCCGCTTGAGAGTTTTCACTATGATTTTGAATAAACTTACAAAATCAAACGCAAACCTGACCAATTTGCAAGTCCCTGCAAATTGCAACACCAATTGACAAACTCCTTGCCAATTTTTTTTCTGAACAAATAACTTATTTATAGCCCTTGAAAAGACAAGTTTTTAAAGTTTAAAAACGTTTAAAAACGGCCAAAAACTGTCAGATATTCAAATTCTGAAAACTGAAAAACTGTCTCTTGTAGTCGACTACTGTAGTCATTAGTCGACTACACTGAGTTCAGACAGACTCTGTGTTTTCGGAAAATGTTCTCAGTAGTCGACTATAATGATCATTAGTCGACTATACTGTAATTTGACAGAAACTTGAAAAATAACATTTTCTTCAGTAGTCGACTATAATGTTAATTAGTCGACTATACTGTAAACAGACAGAAACTTGTATTTGAGTTATATACATGAGTAGTCGACTACTATCCTAATTAGTCGACTATTAAGATCAAATATTCAGAAATAATGAGTTTTTATAATTAAGTTTTAACTACTATTCTAATGGTTAACATAGGGGATTTCTATAGTTAACCAACACACTAAGCCTGTGTTAGTGTGTTCTAAAATTGTGTGTGTGTGCGTGTGTGTGTGATCAAGGCTTGTACAAATATTCTAAGTAAAGAAAAATTCAAATACATTATCTTTTGTTCTTCATTTTCTTCACTTCAAAATTCCTTGATATCCACTTGCACTTGTACATATTCTGATATTGAAATCTGCATATGAAAGTTAGTGCACACACAATATAAATTGTTATCATCAAAACATTATCATGGAGAAATGATATTCAACAGAACTTACCTGGGCTCCGATTACCTAGAAACTTGTCCATGATGAGGAATGACCATGGTCATGGGTATGCTCAAGAGATCAGGTTAATTATAATGTCTTTAGGAGAAATACTTAGAGGATGTGTCTGACATTGTGTTAGATAACGTGGATAAGGTAAATTTCAGACATTGTGTTAGATAACGTGGATAAGGTAAATTTGCAAAAAGTCCATTAAGGATGTCAGATGACACTTGGAACAGGATCTGTATTCGGGATATGATAGTTGCTTCTGTAATCCTTAAGATATAAGCTGTTAAACTAATAAATATCATCAATCTCTTTGTTTTCTATCTCAGGATACTTAAACTTACATACTTCCTAGCCTCTTTCACGTTGGTCAACTTGTATCTTGCATAGTACTAACAGTTGATGATGATAAGAGAGAAGGAAGTGGACAAAAAAGGATTTGGCTGTCTCTGTGTCTTAGTTTGCTGTACAAAGGCCTCACTCTTGATGCTGTTCAAGATAGGATGGTATGCTACAATTATTTCAGTAAACAAGAGCTGCAAAAGATTTTCTGTTCTTAAAGTCTCACCAATGATCCTCTGCTGTTAGCTTTTAATTTTTCATGCGCGTTATCAGATATATTTAATGCAATGTAATTCTCTATGCTTGGAATGTTCTAATGACAAACATCTCAAACTTCTGAGTACTGGCTAACCTGCTTTGCATACTTCTTTCGCTTCTTGTAGGAAAACATAGTTATTTACTTTTCATTTCAAAAGACAAAACCAACTAGCGCCATTGGAAAATAACAAGATTTAGATAGTGTTTAATAACCAGTCAAACTAATAGTAATCCAATGTGTAAAATTTGGAGAAGGATGAAATGTGCATGTATGGACACAAAGATGTTCTTGACGCGTATTCAGAAACAATACCAATTCAAACAAATAATAAACTAATGTTTTAAAGGGTTGTTTATCATAACGTTTTCCCATTGTAATAAAGCAAAACAGGAGATACTTTAAGGATGGAGTAAGTTGTTATATTATGATGAGAATAGTAGTCCAATTACCTTTAAGGCTTTTAACAAAGGTGATAAATAGCATAATTTAAGGATTGAATTAAGAAGATTAGGAGAATGTTATGAGTACATTTAAAAATCTAACCAGTTAAAAGTATTTTTTTTCAATGCCTTATGCTGTGGTCTAAACAAACTGGAAACATAATTCTGTGGCTCATTTCTATGCCTTATGCTGTTAAATTATATGGTCCACAAGCATAATTTTAACTTGTGAAGGTAAAACAATATTTGGAAATGGGGATGAGGGGTGAAAATTTATGTTCCATTTCCAGGTCGAAACCTAATGCATCATTACTGTCCCCAGGGTTTGTTTGGTTTAAAGGGAAATGAAAGAAAAGAAAAAGGAAAATAAATTTCCGTTGTTTGGTTAGACGGGAAGCGAAAATCTAAAATTTTAGTTCATCTTTTCTTCAACTGAACCCCCCCCAAAAAAAAAAAAAAGGGGGGGGGGGGGGGGACATAACATGCCTGCAAAGTATGACATGAATACTTAGATTTCAAGCGAAGTGATATTTTCCAACATATTTTGCTTAGATTTGAAAGAATTTTGATATTTCACTCAAAGATCTCCTAGCACAATAAGCATCTTGGAAGACCCTCAAATAAACACCAGATTATTGAGGATCTTGTGAGACTTTAATGTTAACTATTAACAATAGACAATATTTAGAAATAATCGTTGGATTTTTACAGTAGCCGAATGGTCAACTTTTGTAGCAATTTGAAGTTGTTCCAGTGCTTACATCATTATCCAACATTAAAGTTGAGATATCTATGAATTTTTACTTTCACATTTTATTAAATCATGGTTTAGTTTTGTATTGCCTTAAAGAGGCAGAAAGTTCCTTAATTTACACAATAATCCAAATATTAGAAGGATATATATAAGTCCCTTCATGCTCACTATAACTGCAAATTTGGCATAGTTGCAGGAGACACTGGAATTGAATGGGTTTCAGATTTTAACTTCAACATTAGCAATTTGAATATACAACCTCGACTTCTAGTGGAAGTGAACTTCCGTCGTAATAAAAGTGTGAAGACGCAACCAAATTAAATGTATACCAAATATTAATATTTACCTTGATAGATGGGAGAGTCAGCAACCTCCAAATCCTTAATCCTGTAAATAATACAAGAAAACTAAAAAAATTGGAAAAATATCAATTTCCATAAATACTAATTATAGTCTAAGGAAAAAAGTAAATTCTAATGAATAGAACCTAAATTGCCTCAGAGAAAACAATTACATTGGTGTTATGCTTAATTTCAAAAAACGAAAATTTCAAAATGAAATTTATCATGAAATTTATCACATAAAGATATCAAACAATCTAAGAATTTTCAAAATCAAAATCAAAATCAAAATTTATAAATTGATCAAGACATACCAGAAATTATTCTCTTAAAAAAACCTTGCTCAATTAGTTCACTTCCTGATCCCTAAAATCTGATATTTGAGGAGAAGATGGACGAGAAGGTTTGTGGATGATGAGGATAATAATAAGCTTCTTGAGGACGATAATAATCATCTTTGCAATTTGATAACCGACAATTGATGAGGTAGAGAGAATGGTACTGCGTTGCCGGAGGAAATTCGTAACAGATGGAATGGAAAAGGAAAGGAACGAAGATTTAGGGCTTTACATCTTCTGATTTGTGAGTAACGGGAAAAAGGGTATCTTTGTTAAGTTAATGAAATGAAAGATGAGGATAACTTTGTTATATTTTCCAGTGCAGGCACCTACTGATCTATTCATGCAATATGGTTTTCTGGTTCCAGCCTTTGTTTGCACTTTTAATCTCATTAATCTGTTTTTATCTATTGCCTTTGTAGTAAAAGAATTCCGTGCTTGACCCTTTCATTAATAGAGTTTAGTTTACCCATCTTTGTAGCATCCTATCCTCCATTATGCCCTTATTGATTGAGATTCTTTGTTTTGGACCACCTGATATGTAGGCGTGTCTTTGTACAAATCCACACCTCTCCTGTTAATGCATAATTCCTTCCAGTGTTATCTTGGGCGCTCCAAGGCAATCGGCTTAGGTGTTGAGGCACTTCAGGGCACTGAAACCGTGCCCTGCATGAGATGTGGGGTGCATTGTGTAAGTGAGGCGCACACCTCGATACGCCTTATTATGCCTCACGCCTTGATGCACCTCCATGCGCCTTACTGATATTACTACTACATTCTTTATTCCTCTTCATTTGCCTGCTACTTTGTCTCATTACCATTTTCCTCTTCCCCAAATTCTTGCCTACTCCTTATATTTCCCCCATTTTTTCCTGTTATTATTACTATATTGAAACAGTGATTGTGAAATCACAAACTATTGTTCTAGGTATTGCGATATCGGCTGTTATTAATAATATCGAACTTGATTATGTTCCTTTGTTTTTTTATTGAAGCATTGTGAAACCAAGGCCTGGACATGTTCTGCTGCTTATAATGTTCGTGATTCTAGATGTATGATTTTATAGAAGAAGTTCTTTTATTATTTTGGTTGTGATAAATTACTGGAAATACGGAAGGGTAGCGTTAAATTATCATTAAATCTCTTGTAACTGGTGCTAAGACTATGAATTAGGACATTATTCTGTGATTTAGGTTATTGACCATGCAATTTAATCTTTTGCAACCTTAGGACGACACTCCAAGTTCCCCTATAACAAAAAGACTCTAGCTCAATTAGGTGAGAGGGGAGATAGAAAGTTTTGTTATGAAGTCAAATTCACAATTTGCTTCTGATCATTAAGTAAAATTATGAATGGATTAAATCCTAAGGGTCAGAAAAGGCCAAGTCAAACTTAGTAGTGACGTTGACACATAACACATGACTAGATTAATTTCTCCTCCAGTGAATTTGGTAACTCAAACTTAGTAGTGACGTTGACACATAACACATGACTAGATTAATTTCTCCTCCAGTGAATTTGGTAACTCTTGGTGCTGTGCATTGAGGACGAACAACACATGACTAGATTAATTTCTCCTCCAGTGAATTTGGTAACTCTTGGTGCTGTGCATTGAGGACGAACGAAGATTTGCCATAAGTTTTTTATCCTACATTTTCTTTGGATATTTTAGCTGATAATGCTTATATTTTCCACTAATGTCAACATCAGATTCTTAAAGACATCTTAGTTCTTCATCGTTTATTTTTTTTCTTATTGTGCTTCAACACAATTTATCCACATTCATATGCAAACTGTTTACACGTTCTGGCTTGCATTTATTTGCTTATGGACATAACCTTTGCACTTTTACTTGAAACTTTAAGAAAAATTATATTTTGAGGTATTAAGTATGAGGTGCATAATGTTATTGAGTAACTAAAAATAGATATAAGTTACTAAGAACTTTTTGGAACAAATGCTATAAGGCTATAAGCCACATTTTGGTTTAGTGGAAGTCTGAAATAAGCTAGAAAATTGCACGAAATGATGTGATTATAATTCAGAAATTTTGTTCACTCAGGTTCTTACAGCACAGGTGAAGAGTGTTGAGGACCATGGCAACATTCTTCATTTTGGAGTCCCATTGTTCACTGGGTTTCTCCCTAGGAGTGGTCAAGGTATGGAAAATTACCATGTACGGGTTTCCCTAATGATTACTGCTTACTTCCATTTTTCACCCATATTCACCTCCTAAAATTTTCTCCCTCTCTATCCTGTAATATGCAACTTATCCTCTTTATTGTTTGTCCTCAGATTGAGGTGATTGTAACCTCAAGACATTATAATTAACAGAGATCGGTGGTCAAGAGAGGGAACATTTTAGTGATGAAAATTAACAGAGATAAGGTTCTGAATGGCAAATTTTAGTTATATTTGTTATTAAGAATTGGGCACATTTCTATGTATTAAACAAAGAAACAAAAAAGGCCTATTTTATGAAATTTTTTTCCTCTAATATCCACTTTGTCACAATTTTGGATGCTGGTATTTATACATGCATACTATGTATGTTTGCAGTACATCATCTATTTTTAAATTCAAATTTTTATAATGTGTTTACATGTGCTAATCTTCAGTATACAATAGCAATGATGGGATATGGTCCTGAAGACAGAAGTGCAGTGTTGGAATTGACCTACAACTATGGAGTGAAGGAATATGACAAAGACAATGCATATGCACAGGTAATCCTTGTTTCCTTCTACAAATGACCAGTGTAAGATTTAGGATCTGTTATATTCAGATGTAAACAGTTACATCGCATACTTCTTATGGATACTTTACCGACACAGTCTTTTCCTTTGCGTCTCCAATTTTTTATTATGACGGAATGTGGTGCACTTAGGATTTTTATAGTTGGCAATCGCCATGGTAATTCAGAAAATCACCTTGTCAACCACGCACTCTAAGAAGTTTTCTAAGAATAAGAACAAAAAGATAGAAATTACTCCACTTCAGCTACCCCCACCCCCTAAAAAATCAAAATAAAAACTCTATGCTCATTAAACTCCCCTACTCTTCCGCTTCAACTCCAACAGCATAACCAGCCTACTCCAATAAACACTCATTAACTTCCACATTAACTACTTGCAGAGCTACATGAACTCAAAGTTTTGATCTTTCAGACCTTGTGCCCCCTAATAGCTTATCCCACCTTCTCCTCATTTACAATCACAAATCTAAATCCTAGATATGGCCCCAAAGATTCTTAACAAAACAGCCTCAATGTTTCTGGCTAATCCACGATTATAAACCAGATACTTTGAAGCACTAAATATAGGATATTTATGACATTCTTACTATCTAAAACAAACATTGGATATTTTTCACACTCTTACTATCTAAAACAAACATAAACTGTTTATTGTTTCTTTCATATTAAAAGAAGAGGCGTTGTTGACTACATATTGGGAAAAAATTACACCAAATGAAGGTAACTAAAATATGTCAAAAGTAGAAATTATTTTTTCCCCTTCATTGCGGCATTTGCAATCAGAAAAAAATATAAGAAAAGTTGGCATATATTGATTTCAAATTTAAAAGCATATTCTATATGCCTAATGAAGTTTTTATTTTTTTTATTCAGGTAACCAACAAATGAGAGTCCATGAAAATTCTAGATTTAATCTATCATCCAATTATAGTGTTCTCATTCCTCAGCCCTACACCTTCATCCCCCAAATTCTTGTAATACTACAGCAAACCTGGCACATGATTTATCTATGCAAGACATATCAAACAATTGTCTATTTATCTGCAACCTTCAAGCCTTTTCCGCAGCAACTATAGTCAGAGTTATAAAGCGAACATGATTGTTCTATTATTCCCACATCCAGTATAAGTATCTGTAAATGAATCTCAAGACTTATGATACAGCAAACAATTGTCCATTTGTCTGCGACCATCAAGCCATTTTTCCAACTATTGTAGTCGATGTTATAAAGCCAACACAATTGTTCTATTATTGCCACATCCATTATAAGTATATCCTTCTGTTAATGCATCTCATGACTTAATACTATGTTCTCTTTCAGATTTCTAGATTGAACTGAAATGCAAGGCTACCTTCAGTTCAGCCATATGTTTATGGCTTATCATTTTTAAGATCAATTTCGGCATTTGATGATATGAACGGCACTTATTCCATACTATATATCTATTACATATTACTATTATTAAAGATTAAAGATATGCCCTTTTTCGGTATTCTATCCCTATGGAAGTCTTGAATTCAAATAATTTCATGAAATGTCCATATAATTTACACATAGATAAGGGTCATGAAAATTATGTCATATGTCCTACTTAACCACTCCTATTAAATGCCTCTGCATCCTTAGTTCAATGTTTGATTTATCATCATGTTTCTTTAAAGAACAAATGTCAAAGTCAGGTATATCAACATCAACAATGCACATGGAAACAAGCCATATAGATCTCGATAATTTGAAGGTATGTATGTTATTGATGAGTTTGTCAAGTTGAATTCAAACATGTTTATTCTAATTGTTTCATTCATGTTTTGAAATGTCTCTAGCTTTAATGTACACCTGATCTAACTTGTTGTCCTTGTGTTTATATTGTTGCGGGTTGGCTTGTTGTATGATGAGGTAGCATTACAAAATGTTCTAAACATGACTGCTGACAGGTAAAAGAAGAAAGGGAGATGTTGAGGAGAAAGGTTTAAAGTTTTATTTAAACATATTGCTTGAGATTGCACACAGCTTACTACTGTCCGATTTATGTGGGCACCTTTATATTTTAAATATTTGTGCTATACGCGTTGAATGTCTTCAGTTATTGAGAAATTGATCATTAGAGTCTCAAGAGGTACCAATGATTGGCTTAAAGACGCCATTTGGGGATGGCTTGTTAAGACATGTTGCTGAAGATGTTCTAAAGCTGGCTAAGGTTGATCAACTGACATTTCCAATTGCTTGCTATTTGCCCATAATTAAATTTCAAAGTGTGACTTTTAAATGTTTTAAACTATTTTTCAGGATGGCTTGGAAAGAAGAAGTTACAAAGAAGCTGGATTTCTGAGAGTAAGTGGCTGAGGTGGTTAATTCAGGTAAGAACAGTTACCAATTTTGTTGTCTGGATGACTTAAATGTGATTTTTATGAGTCAATGGGTGCTGGATTGGCCATGGCCCCTAGAGACATTGCATTCAAGGTAAACTTCTTCCTTCACGCTATGCAATTATTTGTTCTTGCTATTATTGATATACTCAATTACTCATCACGATCGCACCATTTATTTTCTTTTGAGAAAAACACATGACAAGTTAAACAATGTAATGAATATATGATGATTTTTTTATTGAATTATTGCTTTGATATAGTGACAATTTCATCTAGGCAGCACTCATTTCTCTCATTTATGAAGATTTAGTTTAGCGTGTCACCCATAATAGTGTTTGATCTTTTTTTATGAAGTTTCCTCTAGAGAGGTGTTGTTTACAAAAATGACCAGGAACCTAAATATGAGCAATCATATAATGAGATTTTGGAATGCTTGCTGACCAGGTAGAATTTAATGACATCATAGATTGCAACAATGACTGAAAGAAATTTATTTTTTTGTTTGTCTATTAAAGTCCTCAAGAGTACTATTTATTCCAGTACTTTCTCGCATAAGGTTTACAGGTTTTGGCACATTGCTTTCTCTATAATAAGCTGAAAGTTACTTTAGGGAATTCATTCTTAAGTGTGCGATTTGCTCAAGTTTTAGGTTCAATGATTCTTTCATACAAGTGGAATTATATCTCCTTGTTCATAGTTATGCATTTTTCTTATATTCTATGCCAGCGTATGGAATTTATTTGTTGGAGGACTGATTTGCTATATGGTGAGGTTTTTGCATATGTTTCTTGTGTTTTACTTACATTTTAGTTTGTTATGGTTAAGCTAGGAGAACTCAAACTAGGAGAGTTACTGGACTCACCTCCCCCAGGACTGGATGAAGCAATTGCAATCTCAAATGTATGATATTTTAGTCAAGCTGTTAAACAGAGATTGTTTTGTTTATTTTATTTTATTTTTTTGGCAGAAACTTGAGTTTTTTATGCCTGTCAGATTTTTTTCTAGGTTATGCAATTTGTTGAATCATAAGAATACAATATTTTTAGTCGTATAGTATGCGTTTGGATCTGGATCATCCTGGCTCTTATGGCTAAGGTACATGTTTGTTGCATTTGACATAATACTACTTGTTTACATGTGTTCATGTAATTTAAATGTGAGTATATAATTTCAGATACAACACATTTTTGATCTTATACCCTCCTGGCATCACAAGCGAGGTCGGCATGATATATATAGCTCTGGCCTACATCAAGGTACCAAAAATGTTTCATTTTAGATTGGGTTTCATCTATTTGCTATCATGAGGGAATGACTTCATCCTTTGGTTTTTGGTAATGGCAGGCCTCTGAAAAATACTTCATTAGGATGTCAAACAAGTGGAACTTCTCTTTCGATTATTTCTATGCAGCTATCATTGCTCTTGGAAATTATGTGCCAAGTATGTACCTGATATTTTCACAATTTGTGTGGTTGTATTGGTGTTCTCTAATCCTTAAGATTGTCTTCTTGTTGGCAGGGAGTGCTCTTGGTATGGTTGTGAATGTATTCCTCTGAAAAACAGATTGCCAATGTTTTATAGATTATTGATTAAATGTTTTTGCTTTCAGCTGGGTGCTCATCTCAAAACACCTTATTTTATGAAACGTGATAACAATGAACTTATTTGCATTTCTTGTTTGGTTATGTTCATTGTCTAAAACCTACTATAATACTTGTACAGACATTTGTTTAAAACCTACAGGGGTTTCTACTTTTAGGATTATTTATGTTGCAATAAGGATTATTTGTTTGAAACATGGATTAAATTAAATAAATCATAATAAAATGAATCAATAATAAAATAATAAAATTAAAATTTTACCACGTGCATTGCACGTGTAATCCAACTAGTAAAATAAAATATGACAGTTTTTTTGTAAATATTTATAGTATTATTACAAAGTCTCTGATCTACCCTCTTTAATATTCAACCAATTTGCAATTCGACAACAATTCTCTTATTCCCCTCTCTTTGTTTATACCATCCACCAATGCTCACAATGATCCTTACATCCAGATCACATGCTCAACAATAGCGGGTCTGACACCATAATCATAAAAGAGAATGAAACCGATCTCTTGATATGAAACTTTTATTAGCCACCATAGAGAAAATCGAACCTCACCCTAGTTTTAGAGGGGAAGATAGAAAGATAGAGATTTTTTTTTGAAGTGGGAGAGAAGAATTAATAGCAGAGTGGGCTGCGTTTAATAGAAGTAGATAAGGGGAGAGGAGAGAGAATGAATGATAGAGAGTGGCGCACAAAAATCCAAAAAAAGGGGGTCACATGTATAGTCAAGGTTTTTTTTTCCCCCATGAGTTGGCATTATACTTAAGGGGGTTCTACAAATAAATAGGTTGGTTTTGGGGTAAAGAGACTGTGGACTAAGTCTTGGGGGATAAGCAAATAAATTACTTAATTTTAGGGGCTAGAAGCAATTTCCCCCCTAAAAAACACATATTCCTCCCCAGTTCAGCTCAGCACATTCATAATATCTTGCCAACTATGCGAAGTAACCTTTCTCCTTTACCATGGTGTGAAATATAATAACAAGAAGCACGATACTATCTTGAACAGACTCCACTCTAGCCGTCAAAGGAATTCGGTTAAAGGTCAATAACATCACTTTCCACAATATGTTCATGAAAATTGTGACCTCAAGGAGAAATATCACACTTTCATTTCCCATCGAATAAAGACTCAATACAACCACGAAACGTCATTCCAAAAGGAGGATTGCCATACTCCCTACGATTTCTCCGACCACTATCGAAACAGAAAACCTGGCTAACCTTCTCTAAATAGCCTTGTCTAAATAGCCTTGCCAGAGTGACGAGAAAACACGGCATACGTTTAGAACTGCAGCGAATTAACAATGTGGATTCATCATATGAAACCGAAGGCGATGAAAGAACAACACCGAGATACTAAATAGTAGAGTCAATGAAGCATACAAATTCAGGGACGAGAATGAGAAACACCAAGATTCAAAATAGCAGAGTTGCATACAAGTTCACAGACACCAGCCAATTCAAACGTAATTTACAAACAAGCTGTTACCAAGATGGAAAATAGTCTCGAAAAGCATACAAATTAAGTAATTAACTGACACCGGGCGCTTCACGCATACAAAACTCGAACGAGCAATATCAAGTCACAAAATAGTGGAGCTAGCATACAAGCTCAATCGCACTGGATGATCCAGATTACATCACGAAGTCCACACTCAGAACTCGAAAAAGCAAAATACCGGAGCAAAGTTTAAAAGGGATCCAAATGCAGTGGCTAAATATTTGGTTAACACCAACGAAAGATCCAAATACAATAATAAAGACCAATATCAAAATACTCGAGATTCTTTGAACAAGTGCACAAATTTGGAAGACAACCGAGATGCAATGCAAGAACAAGAAACACCATAACTGAAATATTGGTGGAAAGCATACAAATCCATAACATTTTGATGAGCCAGATTCAATACAGAGCTGACACAACATATGGTTCTAGTGCAACAAGTAAAAAAATAAAACTGAAACATAAACACTTCAACTTCATGGCCATTCATGAGTTCGCCTCCGTCGAAGCAGTACTGAACACAGTTGTCTCATAAAACCAAAAGAAAAGCACCTAAATAAACACAATATTTTATCCTCTATAATGTTACAATCTTCCGTGTGGGTAAAAGATGGGAAGCAGGGGTAGTTAGCAGGCACATCAAAGTTTTCAGAAGATTAGAAGACATACTTCTCCATCTGCTTTACATAGCAAGGATCCCCATACACGCAACAAAAGAAAGAAAGAAAACACGGTAATATAAAAGCATTAGGTTCGACATGATAGCTGCTAAAATGGCAAGATCATGCTTCTACTCAAATTCTCCATCCGAGTAAGCCATCTTACAAACCTAAAAACGGGCATTGCTTTCTTGCATGTTCAGGGATGAGCTTCACTAGAATCTCCGCTGGAATTCCCTTCAACTCTGCTCAACATTGCTAATTCTTAGTAAACATAAAACAAGTGCAAAAAATATAGAAGAAATCGCCGATAAAAGAATTAGCAATAAAAAGTATAAATACCATGTGGTTTGAAATTAAAGAGTGGAGGCAAGAACCGTCCATTCGGCAACCGAGTGTTCGGGTCTCGAAGCTCGTCAAAAAAAGGGTGAACTAATGCCTCCAACTACAACGACACAGATACAAATTTAACATCTCACATAATGAGGCGGCAAACTTTTGTTTGCATTTTATCACAAATGTTCGATAACTTGCTGTACTTACAGCAGTGCATCGCAAGTTAGGCGAGTACTGAAGAAGCCTTGAGACAAGATCCACTGCTTCTGGTGGCATCCGTTTGTGGAATATCTGGGAAACAAGAAATAAAGTTGCGATCAGAGGGAAATATGAGTGAAGCAGAAAGGAGCAGACACAAAGGGAGATATGTAGTATATGATCCGATTAATAGCACATCATACCTTGTGCCATGGGTGTGCTTTGATCTGAGGAAATTTAAATTCCGTGTAATTAGGGTTCATGCATTTGATTTCTTCTCTTGTTGGGGTACCTAGAATCTGTGCAAGAGAAAAGGAATATGTTGAGAAATTGAAGAACAGATAAAAAATAGAATCTAATGCCAAATAATGAACATAAGATGAAAACAGGAGAAAAAGATGCATTGCCTTGATTATTTCAACAAGCTGGTCCACTCCACTTTCACCAGGAAATAAAGGCTGACCAAGTATGTTAATGTTTCAGTCATATAATGATATATAATTTATAATTTACGTTTCAGAAGAATAAAAAATAGCAAGTAGCTGTCAGATGAGAAGGCCAACCTGCCCCAGCAGGAGCTCAGCTAGAACACAACCAGCAGACCAAATGTCAATTGCTGTTGTATACTCAGTAGCACCAAATATAAGCTCAGGAGCTCTATAGTATCTGGAACAAATGTAAGATATATTTGGCTCTCCTTTCACCTAGAAACAAGTGGAAAGGGAAAACAAGAAATAAGAACCAAAGCAAATTGATAATTATATCCAGCAGAATTCCAAAAGCAAGTAAACATACCAAAACTTTTGCACTTCCGAAGTCACATAACTTCAGTTGGTGGGTATGTGGGTTGACCTGTTACAATAAGGGGACTAGATTATGTTATTTGTCTGAGAGCAATATCCCAAATGCAACCATAAATACATTTAAATAAATAAAATAAAAGAAAAAAAGGGAAAAGGAGTCCCTAAAATTTTCCTTGATGAAATCACTGAAAGAAAGAAAATGTAAACTCCCAGTGATTCTATTTTTTGAAATTTATAAAAAGATGAAAAAACTTAGTTCTGTTTTGTTGTGGATTTAATGATGTAAACCCAAAGGGCAAAACACACATGCTTTCTGTGCAAACTAGATGAAAATAAATGGTATAGCACATGCATACCAGAAGGTTCTGTGGCTTGATGTCCCTGTGGCACACCCCAATGCTACCATGGATGTAAGCCAATGCTCTACAGATCTGTCAAGACAGTAAGTGGAGATCAGAACTGCTTGAAGGAACACTTTCCTTACGTTCAACAATAACAAACTGATCCATTATCGCTAGCTGAACTTGACACTTAGAAATCAGAAGCATCAACATAAGATATAGTAACTAATTTATTAATAATTTTTTTCACTGAAATCAGCCACTAATGACCAAATAACTAGAATATAAACAAATAATCAGCAAAATGTATTACAAATAAAGAGAGCAGCATAAATATGATAGTTACCTGATAAGTATAAAGTTTGACATATATAAGTGGCATGCGTTGATTCATCTTGTTGTAGTGTTTGATTACACGATGAACAGTCTCGGGCACATACTCAAGAACCAAATTTAGGTAAAGCTCATCCTTTTCTGTTGTTGAAAAGAAGCAATGCTTCAAAGCAACAACATTTGGATGGTCAAGAAGCCTCATTGTCTGCAGCTCACGGTTCTTGTACCTTTTGTCTTGAAGAACCTTTTTAATTGCAACTGTTTCACCTGTCTCCAGACACTTAGCCTGAATAACAAAGAGAGGCAAGTCAGAAATCACTGGTCTAAATGAAATGCGCATAAAATTGGAATTCTAAGAAATTGCATTAACATGCAACACAGCACAGCACCAAGGCGGCATATGCCCATAATAGATCTACATGAGAAAAAATAGCCTGTGGGTTCAGGCAAGAGGCATGCATAAATAGAAAAGATTAAAAATGATCATAAAAATTTTCCATTCAAGCTTTTACTATGACCAACCTGGAAGACGATCCCAAACGATCCATGTCCCACAACACGCTCTGCCATGTAGCTTATAGTCTGACATCATAATTAAATAGAATAGTTAGGTACTAAAACCCAATGGAGTTAATTCAAAAACATGGATTTCTCCTTTGAGAGAGAATTAGCAAGGACCTTCCCTTGCCCATGCAAGTCAATTCTTTATGAATATATAGTCAATTGAGCCAAATATTCTCAATGTAACAGTTGATCCAACCATCACATGAAATATGAAATACTAATTTGGAATAACAGCAGATAATGTCTTCAGCTACCTGTTTCGGCTGTCCATTTCTTCCACCAATTGTTGTCACAATTATATGGCCAGTTTCTGTACCATTTCCATCAACTACAGTTGCTTCCACTTCCTGCAATCTCACATTAGATAAGTTAATGCCTGCCTAGTTTGGCATATGCCTAATTTAAAAATGAACCATTTCAATTCAACACATAGTTGCCTTATCATCTCTGATTTTCATGTCATTCATCTCCTCTGGCAATTTGTCCATGCCAATAGTATTAGTACTGGCATTTTTCAACCCTGATGAAGGCACCACACTCACTGAGGCCATCTCTTAGATGGAAATTAAAGAGTATTCAAATCCACCAGGCGTGCACCTCCTAGTTCTTCCTATATGCGATTATTCATAACCTGTTGAAACCAAAAATATTGACACTTCTCAGCAAAGGTGCAGATAAACTGTCAAGGTGATTACACAATTGCAAAAAACAGTAAGTTTCAACAAGAAAAACGAACACAAATGGACACAGAAGCAGCACGAAAAGGGAAAAGGATCATTAGGGCAGTGAGCATAAATAGTCAACAGTGAAACCTCTAGCTCTCAGCCCAACAACTCCATTGCTTAACTCCTTGCTTATACATTTTTTTTGGCAGGACCAAATAACATGTCCCAAAGATACATAATTTTCAATGCCCGGCTGCTCCAAAGAAGGCATACACATAATGCTAAAAAAAAAAAGGATGGCACAGGAGGCTTTCCTATGACAAGCACTTGACGGACCAAATCTGAGATTCACAGAAGCAATACCAACCAAGAGATCACCGATACGAAACTTGTGCTCAAGCGAGTTGTGGCAATACAAAACATCACTAAAAGCAAAATTGAACGTGTTGGCATTATTCACACCATAATCATGTAAAACACTATGCACTCACGTTTTATCCAAGCTCGCCATTGAGACAATTGACAATAACATAATGAAGTTTTATACCAAATTCTTAAGTTCAGAACATGTCAGTTCAATTTAAGGTTTTGAGGGGAAACTCAAACGTGGAGAATAATACAATCATAAATGGAACCCATTAATTTTAGTGCCTATCCGATAAGAGTTAAATTCATCATAAAACCATCATAAAAAATAAAGCCTTTCAGCAGAATTTAACACAACATTAACCATATCATAAAGAGTCTAGCTTCAGATTACTAAAGTCCGCCTCCAGGTGAAAAAGAAATCATTTTTAATACAATTAAAACATGACATGAAGTAAGATCTAGAATAGAGGCCATTTTCAAGACTGCCCAAAAAGATTGTTAACTAAATGATTCAAAAATGTTCCTTTAACCACGAAAAGGGGGGAAGCACAAAGTAAGATCTAATAATGGATGCCTAACAAAATTAATACCAAGCACAAATCTTCATCCAGAACCACAAAGCAAACACCACACTTCAAATTCCCCCACAAAAATTTCTCATTCCAAATCCAAAAGGACGGAAATTGCCAATAATACTCCAAAGCGAGGGGCGATCCAGTAGATTACAGCTAAAAAAAACTCATCCCAAGCAAGAACTACCATAAATCGTATAAGATCACGAATAAGAGTTTTTTTAAGATTAAAAAAAAGGAAAACCCTTACGAAATCCAACAGCGAGATCGAGGCAGCAATCGGATCCCGATCTCGATCAAATTCGCTGATGCATAATGGAGATTCCTTGCGATTTCTTACTTCCCTGGGATTTTGGAGGTGCAAACTTGGTGTTTTGGGGGGGTTTTTTAGAGAGAGAAAAAGGTTTTGGGAGAGAGAGAGAGAGAGGGAGAGAGAGTGTGGTGGGTATGATTTAACAGTCAAAGGTGGATTTTTTATCATCATATATACTTGACCCTTCAAATCAAACCCACTCCACATATTAGAAGAAAATTTTGTTTTAAATCCATTAAGAGATTATTTAAAAAAAAACCAACTCAATCTGTTTTTATTTCGAGAGACCAACCCACTTTGTGGTCACGTCAGCAACATGACTACAAAACGGATCGATTTTTTTAATCTCGTCTCTAAATAATCGAGGTTGACAATCCCGGCTATTTTGCTAATGTCCTAACTAAATTAGTCGGGATTGACAACCCTGACTAATTTAGGATCATGTCTAATTGGTCGGGGTTGGCCACCCCCGACCAATTTGAAAGTCATAGTTCAAAATGATTGGGGTTCCCAACCCCAACCATTTAGCAAAGGTCTTTGCACCTAGCTGACGAGTCGAGCTGGAATCAGCTAGGCAAAATGGTCGAGGTTGGGAACCTCGACCATTTCGAAGTACGGCTTTCAAATTGGTCGGGGTTGCCAACCCCGACCAATTAGACAGAGTCCTAAATTAGTCAAGTGTTACAAACCCCTAGAAATTTAGCTAGAATATTAGCAAAATAGTCAGGGTTGGTAACCCCAACTATTTAGAGACAATATTAAAAAAATCAACCCGCTTCGTGGCCACATTGCTGACGTGGCCACAAAGTGGATCGATTTCGATAATTAAAATGAGGGTGGGATGGTTTTAAAAAATAAAAGTTGGATTGGGCTTAAAATGAAAATTTCTTCCCACATATTACTATTCTATTCTCTTTTGCATTTAAAACCCTCTACACTTTTTCATTATAGATGCTATGTAGTAAATACTATGCCCCACAAAAGTTGACACCAAAAATCTTTGGGTAAGTATTAGCCCCTTACATTGAAGGTAACTTGATGTTAGCCCCTTACATCTCCATATTTTCATATTAGCCCATCAAGTTGCTATGATGTATTAATATGACGGGCTCATATCAAAACACCATGTCTATTTGACGGGCTAATATGAAATTATGAACTTAACCATAGGGGCTCATATCAATACATCTAACTATTTGAGGGTCTAATACAAAACATAAAGATTTAAGAGAGTTAGCTCAAATTACTTATGATTTAAGAGACTAATATCTAAAAAACTCAAAGTCTTTTAGTATTTTCAAGAACATTTGTTGCCCAATATATGATATATCAATGAAACTAATAACATGCATGAGCTGAGAACTCATCTTTTTAAGTAAGCTATAAAAAATTAAGCAGTGGGTGAAATATACGCCGATAAGTTATATCCAATGGTGTTGAGATCTATTCATAATTCTTGATAATTTATTTTGTTAAAATGACGCAGCCACTTATATTCAACGTGTATAATTTAATAATAACATATGTAATTTTAAGTTGTATATGTAATTTTCATTTTCTTTTTACTTATAAGCATTTTTCTTCCCGTTGCAAATTAAAGTTTGTATTAAATAGTAATTAAAAGGAAGAATTTAAAAAGGTATTAAAATGCAAAGGAAACTTAAAGAATACTTCAACAACAATTCTGCATTCCTGTAAATTTCGATTATTCCTTTACCTCGCCACCTGCCCCTACTCGAATTTAGCTTAAATTCCAGATAATGACGTAAATATCCTCCTCTTAATCAAAATTTTCATCAGGTCACCGCGATGATCCGATAACTTTACCGCATACCTACGCTCTCATAATTGTCTAAGTCACGACAAAACAAATAAGGAGGTAACAATACTATTACAGTGACTGCATCGTCCTCGGTCTTAATTTTAACTTTGTCAGAGTGCGGAGGACGATTGGTTTGCCTCCTAAAATTACTAAAACGCCAAGAAAATGAGCGGAAAAAAATACAAAAATGACCATTTTAACTCCAGTCGGTACAAAGATTTTGACGCCGCCGCCAGCGATAATGCAATGTATGTGGATAGAAGATAAAGGACAATTTCGTAGATAACTCGATGTCCTAGGGCAGTTATATAGCCAGACTGTCGAGAACTAGAGCCCACGTGGCAGGGAGAGACAGCTACTTTTAGGCGCTGTTTGGTTCCTATTTTTTAGTGTGAAAACAGGGGAAAGCCTGCCACAGTGTCCCATCTGTGGCAGGTTTCACTCCAAAATCTCCCCAAAAAAAGTCGTTTTGGGGTGATTTCTGACATGTTTCTGACACTATGGCAGGGATTCAACCAAAAAAAATGAGAACCAAACACGCCCTTACTGTAAGAGCTTGTTGGCTAAAAAAATGAAGAAAGATCTATTTAAAAAGGATGGTGCTACAGAGACCCAAAAACATGAGACCTTACATTGGACATGTGAGGTGTAACAGTGCATCATGAGACAGAGAGCCGACATCTCACATGTCTCATGTAGGATCCCATGTTTTTGGATCATTGGGGTATATTTCATTTAGAAAACTAACAACCAAGAAAATGACCTAAAATTACATCTTTACTTTTATTTTCTTGTGTTTGGGCTGTCAGGAAAAAAAATAAAAGGGGAACCGAAAACAATTGCCAATTCATATAAACTAAAAAGAGTCTTTCCTTCACAAAACCTCCAAAATCGCTCAAAAACTAACCCAAGGGAATAAAAAAAATTAGGAATCATACTGTTTGCTTTTCCGCTCTCCTTTCCCTCCAGGGTTTACCATCATCGTGTCGTTCTCCCTCTCATTTCACCCTCTCCCTCTAATTTCTCCTGCCACCTTTTGTTGGTTCTTTGAGCGGCACCGCTCTGTCTGATCTCCAACTCCAACGCTCTCTCCACCATTAAAGGTACATCCTTTGTTCTCCGATATGCTATTTTAATTTTTAGTTTTTGCAAATATTTGGCAAATTATCATATATAATCACAGATTCATAGATCTCTGTCCTATTTTTTTAAGGAATTATTGATGGATTTATGTTTATCATTGATCTATAAACTTGATTTTTTGATATATTATTGGCAAATAAGTTTGTTGGTGAAGAGGATTCTCGGTATTTCCTTAGAAAGGTGGGATTTTTATGACTTTATATATGAGATTTTTGAGGAATTGTTTAGTATGGTTATAGAGTATGCAAATCAGTGGCAAAATCCATTTTTACCCATTTCATCGAGTAACCAATGGAACTGATCAAGCTCGTCGAACTTGTATTTGGCTCGCATAATCACAATACAAGTTTGCATGCTCATTGTTTGATGAAATTCCTCATGGAACGGATGTGTTTCTTGGGTTTTGGATTGTTGCGTATGTTCAGTTTGTGTGTGTGCGCGCGCGCGTATGGAAATATGATTTTAAGGAGCCACATTAGATTGAATCTAAGGATGCATATTCAAAGTTATATTATACACAATCAATTTACTTGATCCACTCCGTTTATTTTGATCTAAATGATTTGGATGGTATACAAACCAAAAATTAGGCATAGTGGGTTGTAGTTACTAATGCATCAAGTGATAGAAAAATTAATGATTTTACGACAAAACAACAAAGACAAAATTTAAAAATATATATAATAAATATTCAAACATCATGACTTTTATTTTATAGATGTTTTAAGGCATTTAGATCACGATGAATGAAGCGAAACGTCTATTGAAATAGCTCAATCCATACATTAAGATGTGTATCCTGTTGGCCTTCTTGTTTTGATGATGTTTAACAAACAATTTACCACTAATGTTGTTTGTATAGTATTTATGTTTTTGTATTTATTGTAGACAAACAACGTTGTTGGAGGTTGGATGGATTGCGCTTCAACGATGATATCCAAAGGAGGTTGGCGGAATGTCGGGTTGAAGCCTTGCAATTCAAGTTAAAGATCAAGTTCAAGCTTCATCCGCACGTGTACCAAGTTGAGCTCAATGAAGATCAAGATCAATGCTTGGGTAATTTTAGTTTAGGTGTTATATTATGTGTGTTAGATACTCTAAGCTCAATATCGTATACACACACACTTATTGGTTTCTTCGTATATATATATATATATATAGTTATATATATATATACATAAGTTTTGTTTTCTATGTATATATATATCTAGTTATATATATACATGCATGGTTTTGGGTTTTCATGTTTATAATATGAAATCACATATTTCATATTTACTATTGTGTTTTTGAAAACATTGCATAGAATATGCAATTTTGTGAAAATATTGTATTCTTAGTTTGTAGACTTCAATATCAGTTTATACATGTTTTACTAAGTCTATAAAAACATTTCACAAAGTTTCAAAAGTTGGTTTATGTCAAAACATCAAAATTCAAGTATATCATATTTTTATGTTTTGGACTATTTTGTAAAATGATGATATTTTTCATTTGGGAAGTCCTTTTTGATAACCAGTCATTGTAGCATGTTTATTATCATGTCTACAATCATTCCCCAAAGTTTTACATTTTTTGGAATTTATTTGATATTTTTAAACAGCTTTTTAAAATCAGCAAATCAGGTTTTTCAGCTGTGTCAGATTTCGGTCGACCGACCCGGTCGACCGATCAGTTGGTTTTTCAGCATTGGGCGACAGAGAGTCTGTCGGTCGACCGGTCCGGTCGACCGAAAGCTCCATCGGTCGACCGCACCAGTCGACCGATGATCGACCGACGGGATTTTCGGTCGACCGACAATGTAGCCGTTGGACTTCTAACGGCTATTTCCTGAGCAGATTTCTGGGGGCTTTTCTGTCTTTTGTTTTGGGTGTTTTTGGCTGAGCTTTGAGTGGGTATATATACCCCATTGCTGATGTCTTTTCAAGTTGATTAAGAGAGTTTTTTAATCAAGTTTAATAAAGTTTTTAACAAGGGTTTTAGTTTGGTTTAAGTGTGTTTAAAAAGCTTTTAAGCAAATTGAGAGTTTGTTTTTGTGATTCAATTCTACAAGAGCTTGAGGAGATCATCTATTGGTGTTTGGGCATTCAACTATTCTCCCTCCAACTCTTGATATATTGAGAAGTTTTCTAAACTCTATTTCTAGCTTTTTTATATATTTGATTATCATTGTTATTAAGCTA